TCATTGGGCAACGAAATTCGTATTAATCATAATTTGTAACACATAATTGTTACAATACATTGTGGTACTACAATAATGTGTACAATATATAATACAACGTGCAATGAATTTGCTAGCAATTCATAAACTCTGAACTGAATCTAACTGCATTTTCGTATTCGCATTACCTGGGATAGTTTCCAAACTGTTATTTATGGCTTTGTTGTTGTTATAAAGTTGGTCACATATTTCAATGGTGATTTTTCAGATTACATTGACGTGATTAAATGTAATTATTTTAAAAATAATAAGAAATTTATAATGTAGAAGTGATGAGGCAAAACGATTCGATTGGATTTGACTCATGAAGGCGTAACTTATAGCAAACAAAAATAGAATTCCAAAAAATGTAAAATATTTTTTAACAAATTATACGCAAGCGAACAAAGATATTGCTCTAATACTACAAGCTTTAAAGCATTATATAACAATAGATTTTTGATTATGAATCATTTTGAATCATAAAATAATATTTTTCTCAATCTCAGTTCTTCTGGATATTTAATATAACAATTATAAGCAATTGACATAGGATCTATTCCTTGCAGAATACTACCAGAAATACTTGATTACATTTTTGGTTAGTACACTAAATATGAATATTATATTATCGAATAACGTTTAAAAGTAAATTAAATATATGTTTACCAGATTTCTACAAAATCTGAAAATTCTGAAAATCTCAATTACATAACGCCAGATTTTCAATTTTAGAGATTTAATATATGACGTTTGAAATATAACGTGATCTAGGAGGTTCCTCAAATTTGATTAGTTTTTTTGTTTCTAGAATAATGTAGTACACATTTATTAATGATTTAGTTTAGACTAAATTAGTTTTAATTTACTCTAAATTAGATCTAAATTTCAAAACCATCGAAATTTTCATTTCCCTATAAATTTTCCATATAAATTGGGAATTGGATAAAATTTTCGAGGTATTTTGAATAAATTTGAACTAATTTAAATCGCTTGAATAAATACAGTTGGCACAAATTGACATGGATAGACAAGCAGGGTATGATTAGAAATTATCTATTTAAATAAATAAATAATTTAACTTAAAGTACAATAATGAACTAAAGTCATCATTTTTATATGATACAGAATTTATAGATATTCACATTCACGAATACACCATAAAGTAGCATTGCCGGACGCTTCTGATGAAGTTTTTGAAATCATGAATCGCGCAACGTATTTCTTAAATCCGAAACTGGCAGGATTACCCAATATAAAATTTTGCTCAGTTCTGGAACATTTAATATGCCTACTTCAGCATGAGCATACTGTATGCAAAGACGAAATTATTTTTGCTCAAATTGTTATTAGCCACAAATCCCGATTGGCAAACGCACAAAAACGTGCGGTGACTGAGTTGCAGAGAAGGAAATGTGATGTGGCATATGAAAGTCCTGAAAAACTGCGTTCACAGTGGTTACAAGAATTGAAAAATTGCGTAGACCAAAGTTGTGCGAGGTAAAAGATAGATTTTGAATTATAATAAGTTAAAATTACATATCATGGATATAAAACTAAATTACAATCAAATGATTAAATCTGCATAACGTTCAACTTCAAATCTGGAATGACTTTGAATCTAAAGCATTCATTCATCAAAACATATATGTGCATTTTTGCATTTAAAGAAAGTAGGATTACTAATAATTTTAACAAGAGCATCAGAATCTGCTTTTTGCATCTGAATCCGTATCAATTTAGTTTAATCAACCAATTCTAAACGTTAAAATTTGATGTTGTTCTAACAATAAATAACATATTCGTTGCAGATTTAGAAAATATCGCAATTCCCGTCATTCTCATCATACTTCGGAGGAAAGCTCGGACACTTCTGAAATAAATAATATATTGGTCCAATTGTTGCAAGCATTGGATGAGAAGCGATCAGCCTTATATCGTTTGCCTTGCGGAAAAATACTAACTTTTTGCTGGCAATATTTAGATGATTGTATTAAAGGAATTTATGAACAAACTGCAACAATATTAAAGTCCATAGACATGATTTCAAATCGTTTGGCTTGTAAACGGCGAGCTGTGGACGTTGAAACTAACGTCACAGAATTTTCATTTCGAAATTTGCGTATGAATATTTCTCCTTTTCGAAAACAACTAGGACGAATGGGTGGTGGTCAAGCAAATGATTCATCAACTATCTTAGACCATAGCACAGAAGATAATAAATTGATTGGAATCACAGATTCTCTTCAGAATCTAACAAAAAGAGTGTTAAATGGAGTGAATCAAAGTATACAAGATATTTTAAGCACAGGTAATACAAAAAGTCATTTAATAATAGAGTTGCGAAAAGCATCTTGTAATAGTGATTTGATACGCGCGGAAAGATATGCTAGACAATTTGTTGAAACATCATTTGAAAACGTGGAAGATTTAGAGAAAAAAGGACTAGTCATAAAGAGACTTGAATCTATAGATGAACTGAACAATTTGATAAGCAATATGGAGAATGAAATTGAAACAATACGTCAAAAACATTCAGATGCCGTGGAAGAATTATTGAATAAAAGGATGAAATTAAAAACGCTTTTCGGTGAATTAGGTAAAATGCGAGACCAAATAGAAGGGCTAATAATTCAGAAGAATACTTCTATAACGGAATATGGGATTGAACACAAAATGATATTGGATGAACGAAAAAAAATACTAGGTGACACGAGTTTGGATAGTGCTATGCGAAATATGTTAATGAACGAGTTAGACGCAAATATATTATATTTAGAATCAAGACATAAAGATGAAATAGAAAAAATTGAAAGTGAACTTAATGATTTGAGGTACGAATCTTATTGCAATTAAACACTAATACTTATTTTAACAAACCATTTAGAATTTAAAGCCAGTAATCAATATATTTAAATACCCCAAAGAAAATTTTACTAGTTTTTCTCATGCCTACATTTACGGATGCTTGATTAATTTAAAATATATGATTATTTAGTTTATATTACTGAATAAATCTGAAATATTCCCTTATACCTATTTGCAATGAGTTGACAGTCAATCCACCATTAGATATGAAACATTATTGCGACAAGACGATTTGCAAAGACAGCTACAAGATGAAGTCAATGATCTAGAAAAACAATTGCTAATGGCAACTGAATCTGAAAAAGCAATCATTATAGAAAAGCTAGCAGAAGCCAGATTGCAATTAGCTGATCTCCTACCACCATTTGAAGATGAGGGCCAAAGTGTGGAAGAAGAAAGTTCTAGCCGATCGGTTTCATCGGAAGCTGTGAGTTGAACGATGTAGTTAATCAAATTAAATAGAAAACATTACAAATTGATTTGTTTAATAACAATATTTAGAAAGTTGAGCCTGATGCTGGTCTCACTTATGATGTTCGCGACAAATCGCAATCGGATTCATCAAATACTAGTATGAGTAGTGACTGGTCATCAATAGAAAATGAAGGAAATTATCGTCTTTGCCAAGAAATTGATTATATGAAATCGACCATCACTAGGGAACTTGTACACGGATTAGTAGATTGCATAAAAAAGGTAATTGTATGAATAATCAATCAAAGCTTAATAAAATTTAACTATAGTTTGCCTAATAATAATAGATAATTTTGACCCATCTTACTGTCTTAGCATTTTTAAATTCTATTTTAATAAATTTTCTACTTTAACGCTTTCATATATCTCATTGTATTAAAAAAAAGATTTCTTATGTTTTGATAGATTGTAGGAAAAATCTATTTATATTTGTATTTTTATAACAAATATATAAATTAAACAGCTTCTTCTCACAGTATTTGCAATGACAATTAAATGATAAACTTTATTCTTTTTACTGAAATAAAAATATTACTCATTCTCATGATCATAGCCTATAAATAACCATACCATAATGGTATGTGAAAACAATTAGATCGATATGGATATAATTAGATTGTCAGAATAAAGAAAATTCAAGTCATCTGTAAATAAGGAAAACCTATAAATTAATCAATATTGTTTTTTGACGTGGTGATAAGTAAATTTTTAATTTTATTTAAAAATTGGAACTAGCGACCAGCTGATCCTGTAACGCATGTTAGTGGATTTATTGAACACCGACTTAAAGTTAAAGCAATGCAAGAAGAAAAATATAAAAAAGACCTAGCTCTCAAGGAAGAAAGGGCTCGAATAGCTAGATTGATGTCAACATCTGGTAAACCCGTTTCAACATATCCGCAAGCATTTGGGGAAGATGGAAATTGGGATTGGCAAATGGATAAGTTGTAAAAAACGGGAAATTGAAATTATCGAATTAAATGTTTTGGTAACTAATTGTTGATGAACTATGATTACCCAAAACTGTTGTTCAGAACATGATAATAAATTATTCTAACAAATAAAATATATGTTTATAATCCATTTCCCAAAAAACATCACCAACCGATAAATTTCTGATGACCGTGTGACACTATTTAATTTAAGTCGAATATATAAATAAAAGTGTATAGTAGTACCAATTTAAAATCGACTAACACAAATAAACTTAATTGTAGTTGTATAAAGAACAAAAACAAAGTCAGTTTATAATTAATCACCATTAACCTCGTATCTGGTCAATTATTTAATGAGAAACATTATTCAAGATTGACATTATTCACATGGGTGTTGACAACGATAATAGCAATTAGAAATAATTACTAGATGTCCTGGACAAGTGAGATGTTTAATTATAATTGTAAAATTGCAGGATACTGTTGATGCATCTATCATATATGCGTCATAAATATGTTACCTCAATGATAGAGATATTTGTCCCAATACTTCGGATAAGATACTAATGTTACGTTGTGCTTATGAATTTCATATAGTATAAAAAGCTTGATGGAATATCAAAGACATAGCTCCTGACTTCCAACTCATTATGAACTGTTTTCGAAAAATTGGTTCCTTTATAATTATAAATTCAAAAATCTTACCAATATCTGTAGAACCACCCCATGTGTTTTGTTGAGCATTTCGTCCAAGTTTGCCAACAGCGTCAACATAAGTTCTTGAAGCTGCTGCCGCACCTAAAATTTAATAAAAAATTGAATTGATCAACTTTCATGTAATTCTTTGGTCATATATGATAATTGACTATTTAGTTGACCTTATTATAAATAAATTCAAAGCAATGATTGTATAGCATTTTCTTCATTAATTTGCGATAGGTATACGTTTTTGCGCAATGATTTCAAATTAATTTTATAATACTAATTTTATTTCACATATTTATAATGGCAATGCGATCTATAAAATCAACGTTTATAACCCCCATTTATCGATATTCACTCAATAACTTACAAATCGTTCATTTTATGCGAAAATAACCATTTTCCGTCATAAATTCGAAAATCAGCGATACTAAATCCCAACAACTCAATAATGTTATTTATAGCTCGTATATTTTAAAGCGTTATTACTGGCAATAAAATTTTCGTAATAATATCGATACCGTAATGCGAGAGAATAACAAAAAACGGCAAAAAGTTTGTTTATGATCAAAATATAAAGTAAAATCATAAAAAGTGAGATATGATATCGGGTGGCAATTTTTTATCATTTTATTTTAACGAACAGCAATCAGAACTTAAAAATTCTAGATATTGTGATGAATTCCTACATCCAACTGATATACCAATTTACATTATTACATTTTTCTATGATAAATTCTTATTGATGCAGCAATGGCGGGCAAAAGCTAGTAACATATTGTGCAATTAATATGCATCTAATTTTGTTCATATATCCAAATTCTTCCCCACTACCGCCAAGCCTGACATCAGGCAACTTTGATGTCAAATTTCCACTTGAGGTCATAGATCTCAAATATAGCCTCAAATGAAAATCGCCTCTCGTGGGTATAGTTGCACATATAATAAAAATGTCAGCAAATACTTCGAATATAGATAATTAGTCCTTATACCTAGTAGACAAGCCGCTGGGTGTTGCTACTATCTTCTGGTTTATATTGTAAGATAATCATTGTTAGCAATCTCTGCTTAATGTGAATGCTCATGTAAAACAGATTGCAGAATAAATTAAATAAAAAAAATCCAAATCCTTCCAAATTTGTAATTATAAAGTGCATGCAATCTAAAAAGCATAAGTCTGAAAAAATTTCCCAAAGATTAATATTAAATTTCAGTAGGATTTACTCTGGATAGCCATCTATTTATTATGATGCAATGGATTGCGATGGCAAAATTTATTGCACTTTAAATAAAAAATCTATTTTATGCTGCGTAGTTTAACGAGGAATGAACTTTCAATGAAATATTACATTTACTACCAATATAAATCCTGATTAATCTACACTACATTCATCATTGTATAACCTTGTAATATTACACAATTTTTGCTTATGGCCCCAGGTATTGAAAACAACGTACCGCATTTATAAGAATGTAAATAAAGTCACATGCCATTTTGCGCATTTCATCGTAACAGTTTCGTTCAGGAGGTATTTGTATGCAAGAGCATGCAATCGTCCATAAAGAGCCGTTTAATGTTCTGCGAAACATGTCGACAACACATTTAATCAACGTAATCGTCCTTGGGATAAATGTTTTGTAGCGTTTTCAGTTTCTTCGAAAAATACGATATGTGACCTACTGATTGTTAATTACCTCAAGGCATTGCAAGAAGACAAACTAAAAAGACGTAAATAACACTCCTCTAATACGTAATTGAAAATAACTAATTGTGAGTAACCCATTCAAAAAATAGAAGTATGATTGATTATTAAGTATTTTGGCTAAGTTTGCCTATCCCAACAAATTGGAATTTGGGTTCAAGTGGATGGCAATTAGATTAGTTTACATATGGTATTGACATCCTACCATATATAGGTTTTGAGACAACTTCAGGGTGTCAATATACAAGTATTTACAGACTTACAGCTGGGTAACTCGAATTCCAAGATTCTTACCTAATTCAAGCTTAAATGACTGGACTACTTAGTCTAGAATCAACTACCCTGCAGTGCTTGCGAATGTTATTTTGTGCGATTGTTATTTTGTCCGAAAGTGAACAAAAATCAATAAATAATCAATATTTCATCTGATATTGCCATAAAATTTATCGAAATCACTAGTACTGGCATAAGTTTACTGATTTTAATAGAAATAATAATGAATAAGTCCCTAAAAAACATGAGAAAACTACCTCTAAAGTAAACTTTAGAAGGCAAAATATACGTTTGAACTGATTACTGCGACAATGACCCTCAACATCTGACAAGATTTTGAAGAAATCAAGTAATTATTTATCGAGTCTTTCGATGTGCTCACAACAATTAGAATCTATTTATCTAAAAATTGTCAATAATTTTGAGATAATGTACAATTGTATTATTAGTGCTTATTGAAAAAAGGTTACAAAACAGAGTTTATCCGGTGGTAAACTATGTAAAGTAAAAATTACCCGGTTATATTTATGTTCCAATGTTCAAAATTGTAATCTTAAATTGAAAATCACAAGTTTTATTTTTTATGTTTATTATCTAATTAAGGTCTATATTTTATAAATGTAATAAAATTTGCATATACTACATTTTTTATGTTTATTCATAATACAAACATACATATATATTATAATTATATAATTAAAATTATAATTATAAGTATTTATTTATTCCTCTAATTACATACTTTCATGTAATGCATTGTTGTTTATAATATACAGAGAATAGATAATCAACACTTGTTTGTAATTATAAAATGCCATTGAATTATATTATAATGATTGACATAATAATACATACTGATCGCAATGATGTCATAATATTTGCAATTAGATTGTAAAACATTCATATCCTATCATTGATAATTATCAGATATGAGTGAAATAGTGAATCACTTCCAGCTATAATTATATACAAGTACAATGTATTTTGCATTTAGCCACACAATTAAATACTTTGTGGAAATAGCATCTATAATTAAATATCATAAATTATTAGATATCTTAATTTATATAAAGGTAATATTATTATTGGGGTTGATGGCTTTATTCATCTGTATATTATTTTTACAACCTTTAATTTTTCTATATTATGTAAGACGGCCCAAAATATAATTAACTAGTGGTGTATGGCATCCTGACATAAAGCTAATTGCTGGATTTTAGCGTAATGAAATATTCAAAACGTATTAAATGTTTTCACATATATTATTATAAATACTGTAATTTTCACTATTCGTATTTTATAGACAAAATATAAGAACTTATAAAATGGACGATGACGTTTATATATGTATACATGAAAAGAATGAACCCAACTTAATCAAGGGGAGTCAGAATGAACAATAGTACTTCATATTTCTGAGAATTATATAAACTGAATTTCAAAATTATAATTATTTATTTAAAGTATAAGTGAGCTTTATAATTTTAGCTAGAATTAAAATTAGATTTAAAACTAGAAAAATTGTTTTTTCGAAATTTCGAAATAAAAAAATGTAATAATTGTTTTCCTCAAGATTCGGCTTTCCAATTCTCTTGAGCGTTATAAAAGTAAAGCCTATAATGGACAGGTTATTGCGAATGAATTAAGTTGAATTATACGATTACATGCTATATTTATGAGATTATCTGTCGTGGTATAAATTTGCCATATTAAATAATTTGATTACCAAAGTTGAAGCCACAGTAAACACGATCAAAGTTGTACCCCGAGCTTTCGTTTCGTATCGCCTTCCGCGAAGCGTACAAATCTGCGGGCAAACAAGAAAGGGCGGCACCCAGAGAACTTTCGGGGATTTCATTTAAATTCTTATTAAACAACGCGAACTATGTAAATACTGCTGTAAAGGAAGTTCGGTATAAACAACGTATTAAGTATTCTGTCACTGGTCTCTCGAGACCCGAGTCGTGTAAGTAATATTGCTAATGTTAATAACACCGAAGTTGTTAAAACGCTTTATGAGATTTTAACTGACTGTCGGGACTTATATTGTTTCATCAAGTTTCAAAGTGTTACGTGGTCTAAGCTTGTTAAACTCTAACGCAGAGAAAATAGAAGCGGAATTTGCGGCAGAGTTAAGGTATAGATAGGAACCATGCGGTATAGTAAGTGGATCTTGAGATATTGCTCTATTGACTTGTGCTGATGGTCTTACATACCATGAATTATATGATCACAGAGAATGACTAATATGTTCCCAAAATAGGTAAGTGGTCTGACCTATATCCTGATGAACAACTATTGTTATCAACTATTTTGCTATATTCCAAGTATTATGAACTTTTAAATACGTCCAAGAACTCAATGTCAAGACGAAACGGGTGCTGGTATTAAAAGTAACTATCATAAAAAAAATCCGGTGTAGTTTAAAAATTAAGAGCTTTTAAGTACAGCCTAACAACTTTGGTCAAATTGTGATCATTTTTCGGAATTTGCGATTAATTTTTATTATGTTTGTTAATTTCAACTTTAGAACTGTAAACGAAACTAGCATTTCTAGGAGCACATTTGAAAATAATGACACAATCGCCTCAAGTATTCTAGATTTAAACATTCTGTTGAACTTTGAATTAAAATTTTTCAAAATTGATCAATTTTGAAAGACCCTCCTTTAAACCAGGCCTTCTTAAACTTTTTTATATAGCGACCCCCTTCAAGCTCAGACAATTTTTAACGACCCCCTCCTTCATATAATGAAATAATAATAAAATATATATTAACCGTAGAAGTAGATGTAATATCACACTATTTTACAATGTGAATAAAATAAGAAAAAAAGAATACGTATCCATTTATTTCACACACACACACACACACGCATATATATATATTATATATATAATTGGAAACGTTTACGGGATATTGGTCGTAATAAAACAATGAATAGAATGACAAAATTATATATATATATATATATATATATATATATATATATATATATTCAATAGCAAAAATAAACTTTTGTAAAAAAATTTTCAATAAAAACATATTATTAATATATTTTTACACAAATAATTAAATCTAGGCTCAATTTGAGTTAGTGCAGGTCGTAACAAATTTTCA